TGGTATTGAGGGCTGCAGGGGGACAACAAGCGAGCTGAATATGTAAATATGTTAGAGTATATAGTGCGCTGGAGAGAAGATGTCAGAGTTGGAAACATAAAACAAGGAAGGGGTGTGACACATCCGGGGCAAGGAGCAGAGACAAGATGGGGTGAGGGGTGTGAGGCCCCACAGGCACGGGGATGCTGGGGGAAAAGCATTCCAAGTAGAAGGAACAGGATGGGCAAAGGCTCTGAGGTGGGGGCGAGACGGCAAGTCTGAGGACAGACGAGGCCCGAGGCTGCAAAGAGCCGGCAGGGGGTGGGGACTGGATTCTGCAGGGCCTTGGATGGCCACAGGGACTTTGTTCCCTGAGTGAATGGGAGCCACGGAGGGTGCTATGGAGAGGAGGCACTCTGGCTGCTCCATGGGGAATAAATGGCTAGAGTCCAGTCAGGAAGCAGTTGACCGAATTCAGAGGAGAGAGGATGACCGCCTGCCCAGGGGGGAGGCGACGAGACTCTGACGTGGGTGTATTTTCAAGAAAGAGCATCAGGCTTTGCTGATGGATTGGATGTGGGAACAGAAAGACGCGACCAAGGGCTGGCCGAGATTATTGCCTAAGTAACCGGAGGAAAGGGGGGAGCTGAGGGAGGAGCCGAGGGGACGGGTGACTCTGGAGCTCACTTTGGGGTGTGTGGCGCCTGAGGTGTCTGCTGGGCAGTCAGGCAGCGTCACTGGGTAGACAGTTCTGGATTGCACCCAGCCAGTGCATGCCAGTCGCCAGCCATCCCGCCCCTTTCCACACTGTTCACCATGTCTCTGCGCCACCTGTACTACTAGTTACTTTTGTTTAATCAGCTGTAATTATTTTTTTAAAAAGAACAGGATTCCACTACCCGAAATGAGAGAAGCTAGGATCACTTGCCTTAAGATAAGGAAACTAAACCACGCGATCAAATATAAGCCAATACTCCCCGCCCAGGGCTCCAGGCAGGCGGCCGATCAGCTTCCTATTGAAATAGGCGTGTAGGTCTTAGGACGTGACACCACCCGAGACTCTCCTGGGGTTTATCAGGAGTGGACAGGGGTCACTTTCCCACCACCAGCCTCCCTGGCATTTGGTGATGTGATGTGACCCTATGGTGCTCCCACCGCTGATGTGCCAGCTAAAGTCACCTCTGGGGTAACTAGGGGACCCGATGTACAGTCTGGGACTCTTCTGAGCCTCCTTGAACCTGAGAGTCGATCAAGGGCACAGGGACCTCGACGCACTTCCTGGGAACATCGTCACCGCCTCCTGCGTGGCGTAGACTGAACATTTCCTGAACGTGACACCCGGCACCCACCATTCCTGTCGGACAAGCCTGGGGTTGAGTCCTCATGTCCCACTTCCCAAGCTCTGTGGCCCTGACCATTTAACTCCTGCCCTCAAAAGGGCGCTGGGAGGATTAAGTAAAATAGTGCGTGGCACACGCACAGCACAGTGCACACAGCACACATCCAGCCCGTAACGGTTACCACTACTAATAATTACAATGATTATTACTGACATATAACACTGCCCTCTACCCCAGGGATACATTGGAGCTGTCACACAACTGTTACATTAGGAGGTTGCCAAACCAAGGCCTTCAGGACCAGGCAGGTAATATGGATGGACAAAGTTGGTGTAAGACATAGGGAGTGCTGGGGAGTGTGGCAAACTGCAGAGCACGTAATCTATTTAATGCTATTTCAAGTCAAGTTTTTAAACTCCACTGCGCAAAACACACACACACACATCTGTGGACACAAACCAGCTTGGGCTCCTGATCAATATGGAAACCCAGAGAGTAAGACAATATTTTTTGTTAATTTAGCAGATACTTGTTGAGTACCCCCTATGTGCCAGGCACTGTTCTAGGCTTGGGAATATGACAATGAACCAGAGGTGGCCTAAATCCCTGCCCCGTGGGCTGTTCTGGTGGGGGCAGCAGGCAGCATGCAAATAAGCGAACTAGAGGTGACTCTGGTGTCCAACGGCAGGGACCGCTATGGAGAAGTGAGGCAGGGAGGGGGTGTGGGGGTGCTGGAGGGCCGGGGCCGGCCGCTCTGAGATATCTGACATTTGATCAGTAACCTGAGGGAGGCCAGGAGGGCACACCCCGGGCAGCCGGCGCGGCTAAGGCCAAGGCCATGAGGTGGGAGTGTGGTCCGTGCTCAGCTTGGGGCCTCATGGGCATGACCTTGATATCTCGATTTGGGGTAAAAACTCAGGGTGGAAGGAACTGACTGGCGAGCAGGCCCATCTGGGGTCCCGAGGGGCCAGTTCCCCCGGAGCGGCCGAGGCTGGCAAGGCCCCAGGGCTCCACTGACCCCGAGACCGTGCCACTGTGCAGGCCCCGGTGAGTTCACACCAGCTGGCCGAGGAGGCCTCAGGAAGCCCACCTCCTCCGGGCCCCCCGAGGGGCTGGCACACCTGTGGAAACCCTGTAATTGCCCACCGGCTACAGCTGGGCCCTGGGGACTTCTCGGGAGACGTGTGCCCTTGACAATAGATGTTCGCGCAGCTCTGAGGCCTGATGACTCCTGCTCAGTTCGCAACACAAGGCCGGTTCCTTCCTCCACCCGCCGTGGGCGACCTTGGCCAAGAGCAAACCGGTAACGGAGACCACTTCAGAAGGAGATAGATGCTAAGAAGCAACAGCAGAACCTGGTGTGATAGGAAGTAAGCAAAGCGGGGGCATCTTCACATGGGGAGGTTGGCCAGGCCTTCCTGAGGGGGTGACCTCTAAGTTGGGATCTGAATAATGGGACAAGCCGGCAAAGCAACGTGTCAGAAGTGTCCCAGGCAGAGGCAAAAGCCAGTGCAAAGATCCTGGGGCAGGAATGAGTTGGGCACATTTGAGAAACAATGAGGAGGCTGGTGAGCCAAGTGAGCAAGGGGGAGGGAAGAGATGAGGTCAGAGAAACAAGGGAGTGCGTGGGTTGGGGAGGGCAGGTCTGGAAGAGTCTTTTAGGCCACAGTCAGGAGTTTGGGTTTCTTCTGCGTTCAATGGGAAGCCATTGGATGGTTTTTAGCAGTGAAGAGATATGATCTCTGTTGGTCTCAGGGAAGCTCTAGTTCTGTATCCTTCCCTGTTGGGCAGAAAGATGGCATAAAAGAGCCATATAAATCTCCTTTTCATTCTTGGCCTTTAGGGACAGAGCGTGAGGTGGGTCTCTAGGGGGTCTTGGTGCTTGGGATCGGCAGCTCTCCAGCAGGAACCTCAAGTGCCTGGTGGACCCTGTACTGGTGTCCTGTTGCTGTCCTGACAAATTGCCACAAAGCAAGTGGCTTTAAAAAACAGATATTTACCCTCTCAGAGCTCTGGAGGCCAGAAGTCCAAAATCAAAGTGTGGGCAGGGCCCTGCCGCCTCTGAAGGCTCTGGGGGAGGATCCTTCCCTGCTCCTCCAGCTCCTGGGGGCTCCGGGGGTTCCTTGGCTTGTGGACGCCTCCCTCCAGTCTCTGCCTCCATCCTCCCATGGTTTCCCCGCGGTGTCTGTCTCTCCTCCCTTCTGTCTCTTGTAAGACACTTGTCGTCGGATTTAGGGCCCACCCAGGTAATCCAGAACAGTCTCGCCTCAGGATCCTTAACGACTACATCTGCAAAGACCCTTTTTCCAAATAAGGTCCCATTCACAGGTTCTGGGGGTTAGGACATGCATATCTCTTGAGGCGGGGGTGGGCGATCCTTCACCTCACCGCGGGCCCTAAGAACTGCAAGGAAAAGGAAGGGACTGAGGATGGCCACAGAAGGAAGAGGGAGGGCCGGCTCCGTGGCTTAGCGGTTAAGTGCGCGCGCTCTGATGCTGACGGCCCGGGTTCGGATCCCGGGAGCGCCCCGAGGCACCACTTCTCCGTCCAGCGCGAGGCCGAGTCCCACGTACAGCAACTAGAAGGATGTGAACCTATGACATACAACTATCTACTGGGGCTTTGGGGGGAAAAAACTGAATAAATAAAATCTTTAAAAAAAAAAAAAATAAAAAAGAAGGAAGAGGGAAAGGATTTCCACTATTTCCACTAAACCTACTAAGCGTTTGGATTCCAGTCCTAGTGTGTGATTACACATCCACTCTTCACCCATCTATTGAGTACCTACTGTGTGTCACACACTGTGGGGGCGCTGAGGATTCAGCACTGGCAAGGCCCACAGTCTCTGCCCCGGGAGCAGTGGCCAGGAAAGCGCCTGCGCACAGTAGGGTTTCCACACATGTTAGTTTCCTTTCCTTCCCAAGTGCCTTACTCTTACAGCTTCACTGAGAAACAAGAACAGGCATGAACGAAACCACAAATCCTCGTGGTATATAATTAAGTCCTACTAACATCCGCAGGCATTGTAAGAGCTGAGAGGATCAGATGTCAGAGTGACCCCAGAGGGCTTCCTGGAAGAGGAGCCGCGGCTGATGGGTTAGATCTGGGGGGAGGTGGGAGTGGGTTCCAAGCTAGAAAGAGCCTGTGAACAAAGGAGGCGAGCGTGGTTCGTGGCTGATGCAGAGCACTTCGGCTGAGAAGTATTCAGGGAGAAGGTGGGCCAGGGGGTTGGCGTGACCAGATTTCAATAAGAGCAAACAGTTCTTGGGAAGGTTCCAAACAAAACAGAGTATAATTTTCCCTCAGTTTACATAGTGGTTGCTCTCCAAAGAAAAAAATCAGTGTATGTTAATACCCTGCAAGAAAGGTGTTCTATTTATATGTAAGCAGAGTTCCATTCCAGGCTCGGAGAACTTATGAACAGGCCCTAGCTACTTCCCCATGCGCCCCCGCCACGCCCAGCGGGACAGCGGACCCAGGGTACTTGCTCGTGGTGCAGGACCACGTCAGGGTGCATTGCTGTCCACTGCCCACAGAGGCCAGTGGTGCCCCCCGTCTGTCCCCGGAGATTCGCAGAAGGCGCCCCCGCGCCGGGGCTGGGGGTGGCGCGCCGGTGAGAGCCCCCCGGCGCCCGCGCGCCCGGCGGCAGCCTGCCTCGCCTCTCACCCGCTCTGCTCGCAGGTTCCATGCAGGCGATGAACAAGACGCGGCGCATCATGGAGCAGGGCGGCGCGCGCTTCGTCAACGCCTTCGTGACCACGCCCATGTGCTGCCCCTCGCGCTCCTCCCTCCTCACCGGCAAGTACGTGCACAACCACAACACCTACACCAACAACGAGAACTGCTCCTCGCCCTCCTGGCAGGCACAGCACGAGCGCCGCACCTTCGCCGTGTACCTCAACAGCACGGGCTACCGCACAGGTGAGGGGCGTGCCGCGGGGGCGGGCGGGGGGCTTCCAGAAGGGGGGCGTCCTCGCCGCCCGCGGTGTCTCTGCCGCTGTGGTCCCTGGGCTGCCGGGGCACCCGCGATGGTTTTAGGTTGTACACGGACACCTTTGTTTCCATTTCAAACTTGTGCGTGTATTTCTATATACATTAGAAAAATACAGAATTATTTGTAGTGGTGATAGAAAGTGACCTTTCCAGGGGAGTTTGACTTGGAAGAACACTGAGTCTATTTAAAATATGAAATATAGTACAGAGAGGCCGGGAAGTACCCATGCATGAGTTTGCATTCTCTATTAATTATGTTATTAAAGCTGTTGAGGACTGCTTTATTGACTTGAGACCGTCAGCAAGAAGAAGGTTCTAGAACATTGGGGTGAGAGATGGGGATTAAAATTGGCGAGGAGCGCATGTGGGGACTGTGTGGCTGCTCTACAGAATGGTCCAGAAGTTGATGTGGCGATGGGCTGTTTGTCTACACTTGACTGTCTACACTGCCCGGTGGTGTGCTCCATCTCTCCCGCGGTGGGTGCCGGTGGTGCTTCATCCTGGGTGGAGGGCAGGCGGGGCTTCCTGTCTGTTTATCTTGCAGCAGGTGCTTCTGTGGATTCCGAAAGCTCACCTGCCAGGTTGCCTGAGGCAAAGGCACGATCACAGTCACGTATCTCCAGCACCATTGCAGAATCCTCCAAACTCAATTTAATTTGCTTTAGTTAAAAAAAATACATAAGTACTCCCCACCATGGATAAGGAGCCAAGGCAGTCATAAAATCAGATACTGTGGCCTGGATGTTGCCACCCCAGGAAGTTGCATCCAAGTGAGAGGGGGCTTGTTTGGGGCAGAGAGGCATGAGGGGAGGCCGGATGTCTCCATGAGCTCGGTTCGTGGCGTTGAAGCCATCCTGGGGAACAGGCAGCTCCCCTCAGATCCATGGTGTGGCTGGCAAGGGCCCGGTGCGGGGAGGAGCAAGCTGGTGAGGTGTCTTCTTGTACTCATTCAGAAGCTGCCAGAATCGCCCAGAAAGTGGGTCCTGCTGAGAGGACCAGGAAGGCCTCCATCCTGTACACATAACCCTGTTGGTTCCTGGGTCTCTGCAGAAAGGCGCACGTGGCAGAGTTTACCAGGGGCCACCACCCAGGTCTTCATGGGGACCTGGGTGTAGATGGAGGAAGGAGGACAGTGAGCCTACAGTAGACCACAGGGCACCTATTGAAAGGGGCATCTGCCACTCAGGCCTGGGTAATTTTAGCCATTTGTGCTCAGGGTTGCCCACCTTCAAATATTTCTAATCTGAGTTTTTATATGAAATCTGCTGATTTAAAAAAATGTTGGCGAAAGTCTTTTTTTTTTCTACGTACACTGTGGGCCAAACAAAACATGTCTGGGGGCTGTGTGGCTCACGGACCCCCTTTTAGGACCCCTGGCTGAAAGGGCTGTGTAGAAACCGTTAGCTTTGGATGCTAAAGCAACAGGAAGACCCCTGAAAGTGTTCTCATCAGCCCCCCTCTTTTGACAGCCAGGGCAACTGCAACCCAGAAAAGAGATTTGCCCAGAGCCATAAAACCAGTTGCTTGTGGCGTAATCAAAATGGAAACCAATACCATGGGAATTCAAAGGGAATATGGAAATTGCATCCATTGAATTGAAAGGAAACACATATCCTGGGATATCTTGGGAGCTCATGGTGGGAGCCAAAGCCTGGTGTTTCCGAGTCGTACAGCTGGGGCAAGAAAAGAAACCATCTCCCAGGAAGAATGTTTATTCTTCAAAATTGATTTCCCAAACTACATCCTTGGATATACACAAATCACCAAAAAGCTGTCTCCCCGAAGAACTGCTTTCATCCAACTATGCTTAATTATTATACCCTCAGTGAAGACTGGGAGCATAATGTCAAATGTGAATTGCCATACACAGAACATTTACATTTTTTGTGAAAGTGTCACTGAGAATTTTATTCATTATATTTAGAATGCCCCTCTATACACGGAACCCCATTCCAACCTGACTTGCAGAACTCAGGACCCTGAAAACGTCTGTTTGCTCTGATGAACTGGTGTGCTTGTAGTCATTAAACAACAAAAGCTGTGTACCCTGTATACTTTCTCTCTTTGCTCTGGCAACTAGGAAGCTCAGATTTGAGTTTTACATTAAGTTGCTGTTTAAAGTGAAAACATTTTAAAGATACCACTACATAATATTAGTTATGCTGGTCATTGTCGGTTGATTGAGAAGAATGACAGAAAAATGATAATGAATTCAAAATCCCTCTTAGATTAATTTGATTTGTGTGACTCACATTAGAATATATAATAAATTTTTAGTCCCCCAAGGACCAGTGGTCAACTGTTCTTGCTGGGTCTTTAGACACATTAAAGCCTGCATTCTCGTGGGTGTCTAGGGTTGACTTGGATTTAAGTTTGGCTGTGTGTGAGAGACCCAAGATAGCTATCGTTTATTACTTTCTCAATGAAAAGTCCATGCTACTTTGGTGGGCCTGCCCCATAAATTGATCAGAAACTCAACCGCTTTCTTTTTTTTTATTGAGGTATGAAGACATATAACATTATATTAGTTTCAGGTGTGCAACGTAATGATATAATATTTGTATATATTGCGAAATGATCACCACAATAAGTCTAGTTAACATCCATCACCCTACATAGTGACAAATTTTTTTTCCTTGCGATGAGAACTTATAAGATCTCTCTTGGGCCAGCCCCATGGCTTAGCAGTTAAGTGTGCGCGCTCCGCTACTGGCGGCCCGGGTTCGGATCCCGGGCATGCACCAACGCACCGCTTCTCCAGCCATGCTGAGGCCGCATCCCACATACACCAACTGGAAGGATGTGCAGCTATGACATACAACTATCTACTGGGGCTTTTGGGGGAAAATAAATAAATAAATAAAATTATAAGATCTCTCTTAGTATGCAATACAGTATGATTAACTATAGTCACCATGCTGTACATTACATCCCCATGACTTACGTATTTTATAGCTGGAAATTTGTACCTTTTGACTCTCTTCACCCATTTCACTCACCCCCGCCTCTGGCAACCACCAGTCTGTTCTCTGTATCTGTGAGTTGGATTTTTTTTTTTTTCCGATCCCACATATAAGTGAGATCATACATTTTTTGTTATTCTCTATCTGACTTATTTCACTTAGCATAATGCCCTGAGGGTCCATGCATGTTGTCACAAATGGCAAGATTTCCTTCTTTTTTATGACTGAATAATATTCCATATATATATATGTATGTATGTATATATACACCACAATTTCTTTATCCATTTATCTGTTGGTGGACATTTAGGTTGTTTCCATATCTCAGCTATTGTAAATAATGCTGCAGTGAACATGGGGGTGCATATATCTTTCTGAGTTAGTGTTTTTGTTTTCTTCTGATAAGTACTCATAAGTAGAATTACTAGATCATAAGGTATTTCTATTTTTAATTTTTGAGGAACCTCCATACTGTTTTCCATAGTGGCTGCACCAGTTTACATTCCCACCAACAATGCACAAGGGTTCCCTTTTCTCCACATTCTCATCAACATTTGCCATTTCTTGTCTTTTTGATGCTAGCCATTCTGCCAGGTGTGAGCTGCTATCTCATTATAGTTTTGATTTGCATTTCCCTGATATTAGTGATGTTGAGCATCTTTTCATGTACCTATTGGCCATATGTATGTCTTCTTTGGAAAAATGTCTATTCAGATCCTCTGCCTTTTTTTTTATCAGATTATTTGGGTTTTTGCTATTGAGTTGTATGGGTTGTTTTTATATTTTGGATATTAAAACATATCTTCTCAGATATATGATTTGCAAATATTTTCTCCTATTTGGTAGGTTGCCTTTCATTTTGTTGATGGTTTCCTTTGCTGTGCAGAAGGTTTTCAGTTTGATGTAGTCCCACTTGTTTATTTTTGCTTTTATTGCCTTTGCTTTTGGTGTCGAATCCAAAAAATCATAGCCAAGGCCAATGTCAGTTTATGGTTTCAGGTCTTATGTTCAAGTCTGTAATCCATTTTGAGTTAATTTTTGTGTATGGTGTAAGATAGTGGTCCGATTTCATTCTTTTGCATGTGGTTGTTCAGTTTTCCCAGCACCACTTAAAAAGAGACTGTCCTTTCCCAATTATATATTCTTGGCTCCTTTGTCATAAATTAATTGACCATATGTGTGGGGGGTTTTTTCTGGGCTGTCTGTTCTATTCCATCGATCTGTGTGTCTTTTTTTATGCCAACATACTGTTTTGATTACTATAGCTTTGTAATATAGTTTGAAATCAGGGAGCGTGAAGCTTCCAGATTTGTTCTTCTTCCTCAGATTACTTTCACTATTCAAGGTCTTTTGTGGTTCCATACAAATTTTAGGATTGTTTGTTCTACTTCTGTGAAAAATGCCATTGGAGTTTGGATAGGATTCGCATTGAATCTGTAGATTGTTTGGAGTAGAATGGACATTTTAGCAATATTAACTTTTTCAATCCATGAGCACGGAATATCTTTCCATTTATTTGTATCTTCTTCAGTTTCTTTCATTGATGTCTTATAGTTTTCAGTGTACAGGTGTTTCACTTCCTTGGTTAAATTTATTCCTAGGTATTTTATTCTTTTTGATGCTATTGTAAATGGGACTGTTTTCTTAATTTCTCTTCCTGATAGTTCGTTATTAGTGTATAGTAACCCAACAGATTTTTGTATATTGATTTTGTATTCTGCAACTTTACTGAATTCATTTATTAGTTCTAAGAGTTTTTTAGTGGAGTCTTTAGGGTTTCTATATATATAGTATCATGCATCTGCAAATAGTGACAGTTTTACTTCTTCCTTTCTGATCTGGATGCCTTTTATTTCTTTTTCTTGCCTAATTGCTCTGGCAAGGACTTCCAATACTGTGTTGAATAAAAGTGGTGAGAGTGGGCATCCTTGTCCTGTTCCTGATCTTAGAAGAAAAGCTTTCAACTTTTTACCATTGGGTATGATGTTATCTTTTGGCTTATCATATATAGCCTTTATAATGTTGAGGTACATTGCCTCTGTACCTACTTTGTTGAGAGTTTTTATCATAAACGGATGTTGAATTTTGTCAGATGCTTTCTCTGCATCTATTGAGATAAGCATATGGTTTTTAGCCATAATTTTGTTAATGTTGATTGATTAACACATTGATTGCTTTGTAGATATTGAACCATCCTTGCATTCCTGGAATAAATCCTACTTGATCATGGCATATGATCCTCTTAATGTATTGCTCAGTTAGGTTTGCTGATATTTTGTTGAGGATCATTGCATTCTGTGTTCATCAGGGATATTGACCTGTAATTTTCTTTTCTTGTGGCATCCTTGTCTGGTTTTGGTATCAGAGTAATGCTGGCCTCATAAAATTAGTTTGGAAGTGTTCTCTCCTCTTCTGTTTTTTGGAATAGTTTGAGAGGGATTGGCATTAATTCTTTCTTGAATGTTTGGTAAAATTCACCAGAGAAGCTGTCTGGTCCTGGACTTTTATTTGTTGGGAGGTTTTTTGATTATTGATTTAATCCACTTGCTAGTAATTAGTCTATTCAGATTTTCTATTTCTTCATGATTCAGTCCTGGTAGGTTGTATGTTTCTAGGAATTTATCTATTTCTTCTAGATTGTCAAATGTTTTGGCATACAGTTGTTCATAATAGTCTCTTATAATCCTTTGTATTTCTGTGGTATCGGTTGTAACATCTCCTCTTTTGTTCTGATTTTATTTATTTGAGTCCTCTTTCTTTTTTTCTTGGTGAGTCTAGCTAAAGGTTTGTTAATTTTGTTTATCTTTTCAAAGAACCAGCTCTTAGTTTCATTGATCTTTTCTATTGCCTTTTTAGTCTCTATTTCATTTATTTCTGCTCTGATCTTTGTTATTTCCTTCCTTCTACTAACTTTGGGCTTCATTTGTTCTTTTTATAGTTCTTTGAGGTGTAAAGTTAGGTTGTTTGTTGGAGATTTTTGTTTCCTGATGTAGGCATTTATCGCTATGAATGTCCCTCTTAGAATTGCTTTTGCTGCATCTCATAAGTTTTGATATGTTGCATTTCCATTTTCACTTGTATCAATGTATTTTTTTATTTCTCTTTTGATATCTTGTTTGACCAATTAGTTGTTCAGTAGCATGTTATTTAGTCTCTACATATTTGTGAATTTTCCAGTTTTCTTCTTGTAATTGATTTCTAGTTTCATATCATTGTGGTTGGAAAAGATGCTTGATATGATTTCAGCTTTCTTAAATTTCTTAAAACTTGTTTTGTGGCCTAACATATGATCTATCCTGGAGAATTTTCCATGTGCACTTGAGAAGAATGTGTATTCTGTTGCTTTTGGATGGAATGTTCTGTATGTGTCTGTTAAGTCCATCTGGTCTAACGTGTCATTTAAGGCTGATGTTTTGTTACTGATTTTCTGTCTTGATGATCTATCCATTGATGAAAGTGCATTATTAAAGTCTCCTACTATTATTGTATTGCTGTCTGTTTCTCACTTTAGGTCTATTAATATTTGCTTTATATATTTAGGTGCTCCTTAATTGATCAGAGACTCAACTGTTTTCTATTTCTCCTTATTTCTCATTAATGAGAAACAAGACACATGAGCACACATGACTACAAAGGATCCTGGAGAGTGTAGTCTTTATTCTGGGTAGCCATTTGCCCAGCTAAAAATTCTTTTACTATGAAGAAAGAAGAAAATGGATGCTGAGGGAAGATTAAAGTCACAGCCACAGTACCAATTCTCAACCATCTGAGTATGTGATACCCTTTTAAATACAGGGGGTCAGCCTGAGTGTGGAAGATTGGAACTAGAAAAATGTTCCTTAAATTGACCAGCATTTCATGTATATAGTGGTTATAATGTATGTAGTTAGGTATTTTATCTTGAAAAAATGAAACTAGGAAATTTTGAAAATAACCTTATTTTCTCTTACATCCAACAGTATTTAACATGGAAGTTAGGTTATAATTGTGACTGATGGGTTGATTCTTTAAGCAAATGAATTGATGAAGTGGCAATTCGGGGTGGGGTATAATTTGTCCAACAAATTAAGTGATAGCACAATATGATATCCTTTACTTGACCTTCAGTTTTCACAGAAAAATCCTAAAGGGTCATTTTTGCAAAAGTATTTGAGGATTTGATCTGTTTTCCCAAGGGCTTCTCTTAGTCCTTTGACACCTAATTCTTCTCCTGTGAAGTGCTGATTACTTGATCACAGTTTTCAATGGTCTCTTCTTCAGTAAACTAGATTATTGTTTGTCAGTGGATTTGCATGGGCTTTGAGCTGTCTCCCAGCATCGCTTTAATTAACTTTTTAACACCTTGCATCTTTTACAATATTCGCAATTTCATGTAGCAGTCATCTTGCTTTGTGCTGCCCCGTGTTTGCAATAGAGATTGACAAAGGATGAAGAGAGAGATGCTAAGTTTAAGCAGGATAAATACCAATTTGTTCATGGATATTTCTGTGTTGGCTTCCTCTAACTTCAGGGACTTGGATCTCAAATATCCAATTGGAGGATGCAAATATAAACTGCATCCTCAGTTTTTACAAAATGTACATTGTCTTCTTTTAGCATACTTCAGCGGCCCTGACTGCTCACTATACCCATGAGTCAAAGTTATATAGCGTTCTTGTAATGAGCCTCCCAGCTCTTGGCAAAGTCGTTGAGAGCCAGGATTCTAATTCTGGTGAATTAGACAGGAGTGCCCATTTTCTTCAAATCCAGGCTCCGCCGCTTACTAGCTGAATTAATTTGGACAAGTTATTTAATTTCTATGTCTTGTTACCTCAACCTAGAATAACAGTGTTCCTTAACTCATAGCGTTTTGTGAGGGTTAAGCATGTTAGAACAGTGATACATAGTAAGCATTTAAGAAACGTTAACCATGATGATGATGATGATAATTTGCACAAGGAGCTCAGCATCACACCACCCAGCCCAGTCCAGTTTTGAGACGAATGTCACAATATGTAGCCTCAAATGGTGAAAATAAATTGTACACATGGATCGGAATGAGGCAGCATGTGCTCAACCTCTCTGGTAATCAGTGAAACGTAGATTAAGCCAACAATGCACTATCATATCTCACCCATAGCAGATATTCAGAAGTCCTGTCACACCCAGTGTTGGTGAGGATGTGGGAAAACAGGAAGTTGCATACACTAGCAGTGGCACCTCCACTTAAAGAGCATTTGGCAATTTCTGGCAAAGTTGAAATCATGCATCTCCTTCCATTCAGCCATTTTTCTCTGGCTCTGTACCCCAAATTCTGAGGAGGTGATATGTGAGTCCTGCTTGAGCAAGAGAGGGTGCTTCCTGGCGATGCTCGTGGCCAGTAGATGGCCTTCAGAAACCCCAACGCCAAGTGGTTTTGACAAGATGTTGAATTTTTTGCTCCCTGAACTGGAAGGATACAGGCAACCTTTAGGAAGAGACAGATCCCGAAGTTGAACAACCTAGGATACACTGTGACAGTATGACATAGGAACAGTATGACAATTTCCTCATAAGGCTTGAGGTGTCAAGATGATGGCTGGCTCTTCCAGGGTCTCTGTGCCTCTTCGTTACATCCAGCAACATCTTTTCCCAGAATGCCAAAGTGGTGAGATTCTTTCTGATTGGACCAGGTTGAGTCACATGTCCACCCCTGAACCAGTCACCACGGAGAGCAGTTGGAAGGTGCCAGTTAGCTTAGCCTACATCACCTGTTCCTGGAGCAGCAGGTGGAGTCAGTGTCCTCCCAACATCTGGATCCCCGATAAAAATTGGGGGGTGTTGGGAAGGATACGGAGGAAAACACATTGCTGTGGTGATCACAAATTTCCAGTACATTGCTTTTGGCAAAAAAAGAAAAAACACCTTTTCCGGACCTTTCTGGTGAATTAGACAGGAGTGCCTGTTTTCTTCTCATTAGGTAATGTTTCTCATCCACGTTGCCATCTGACTCTAGCAGTTCTGAGGTGGTTTCCCCGCCCAGCTCTTGCCATCTGGTACAGACTTTTGCAGAGATGCGAGCGCTGGTGGTGAGCCTTCTGCCCCTCCCTCATCGTGTTCTCGAATGCACCGGGGAGCACGCCTCTTGTTACAAGCCCGGGCTGTGCCAGGGCTCCCGGTTGGAGCTGTTTTGAAATTTGGCCCTGTGCACCCCAATTATTTTCACTCTTCTCCTCGCACAAAGCTGAGGAGGGAGGTCAGCTGAGGACCTGCACTGCTGGGCTGTCAGCCTCGGGCAGCCACCCTCGCTTGGGGGAGGGGGGGATTCTGTGCCAGCATGCCTGCAGGATGGTGGGACGTTGGAGGAGGCTGGGGCATCCTGCCGCCCCTCACAGGAGGGTGGAGGGGTGTCTGCTGAGCATTTGGGCAGCCCTGACAAAAGAGTCGCTGCTGGCATATGAAGGCAAGTGTGTGTGTGTGTGTGTGTGTGTGTGTGTGTGAGACTTGTTTTTCCCTAAAGTGATTTCAGGACCACAAAGACATGAGGGCTGGTCGTCAGGTTGCCTTCCTCTGTTTTCCTGTGTAATAATCCCCACGCCTCCCTCTTTCCACCGTTCCATTTTGGTCTGCCTTTAGCCTCTTGCCCTGAACCCCACGCCAGCATCCGGCTGCTGACTTAATACCTCTCCTGGGATGTCTCCCCAGCATTTCAGACCTGATGTGCCTAAAACGCCTTCCTGATCTTGTCTCCCCCTCCCCGGGCGCCTCCCCAGTCTCCCCCTGGCCGCTCCAGCGTTCCAGTCGCTCCAGCCAAAACCCTAATGTCATTCGTGATTTTTCTTCTTCCTCTCACACTCTATGTTCAATCCATCAACAAACCCCATTAGCTCTCCCCTCACAATACACCAGAATCCACTCTGGTGCCTCCACCCTCATCGAAGCCACCATCATCTCTCGCCTGGGCTGTTTCCCTCCCCGACCCCCTGCTCCCGCCCTCACCCCCCTACAGTCTGTTCTCACCACAGCAGCCGAGGGAGAACCTGTTTCCCCTCTGCCCACGGCCCTCCCGTGGCTCCCCCTCACTCGGGGTAGAGGCCCCCAGAGTCACCACAGGGTCCTAATGATCTGTCCCTCACCTCTTGACCACCTCGCCTCCTGTCCTCCCCCTCAGTCACTCCATTCCTTCCTGTTCTCAAACTATCCAATAACCCCCGGCACATTCCCACCTATAGGCCTTTGTACTTACTCTTTCCTTTTCTGGAAACTTCTTCCCCTGCATGTTTGCATGGCCTGAACACTCAGTTCCCTAAGATCTTTGTTCAGATGTCACCTCCTCAGAGAAGCCTTCCTTGACTATCCCATCCAGAAGGATACCTTTATCCCCCACCGTGCTTTATTTTCTTCAGAGCCCTTGTCACCACTTAACATATATTTGTTGTCCACCCTCCTAAGTTGCGTCATGCTCCCTTCTGGTCCTCCCTGCCCTGATTCCTGCTGTATCCGTCTCCCTGGCTCTTTCCACCACTGACTACATGTTCTGCCATTTATCTTGTTGGTTGTCTTGCTCCTAAAATGGCAGCTCCATGGAAGCAGGGACTGTCTGCTCTGTCCTCCCCAGGCCCCCGTGCCTGGAAGAGGGCCCGCCAGAGTGGGTGCTCCTGATCTTTGCAGGCTGAGCGGGTGAATCTGCGTATTCTGTCCAGAGCCAGCAGCCCCTGCCCTCCCGCATCTTTTCTGTATTCCTTTCTCCTCTCCCCTTCTCTTCTCCCCACCCCCTCCCGCCATCTCTGCCTCTCCTCCTCTTTCTCCTCGGCCCTCCTGCCGCAGAGAAGAAAGGCCCTGGGTTCTTCCTGGGATGCCTGCTCTGGGCCCTGGCGCAGCTGTCCCGCCTTCACAATGGTCGCCTTCTCTCGGCTTGGCCTGTCTCCTGGTTTTCTCCCGCTCTCTTCCTCTCCTCTTGAGCGCACACGCCCGCACACGCGCACACACAGCTCCCTTCTTCCCTCGTCCAGCTGCCCCTTTCCGCCCCCCCACCTGCCCCCTCTCCGGCCTGTGGGTGTGACAGCAGAGCCTCTTCATTCGCCCCGTGCAGTGGGACCACCTCAAGGGGCAGGGCACCCCCCCACGCCTCTCCTGGCACCCAGGACCCCACCTGCCCCTCCATGAAAGTCTGCGCAGCGAAGGGAGTTGAGCAGCCCTGCCCTGAGCCCGGGCTGGCCCAGGGCATCCTTAAGAGTCACACATTTGTCACTTCCGCATACATCTTCAGCTGAATTTCTCTAAACTCCAATTTAATACAGTCATGCGTCTCTTAACAATGGGGATACGTTCTGAGAAATGCATCATTAGGCGATTTCCTGCTTGGCAAATATCATAGAGTGTGCTTACACAAACGTGGATGCTATACCCCACTACACACCTAGGCTACTACTCATCTTACAGCACCACCGTCGTATATGTGGTCTGTCGTTGACTGAAACATCGTTATGTGGGGCGTGACTGTAGTCACTCCCTTTCTCCAAGATCTTCAAGTTTCAAAACAAGTAAAACATTGGTGCAGGAGTCCAGAGAATTACACTCTGCTTCTAACTCCTTTGTGACCGTGAGCTGAGACCTGACCCCTCTGGGCCTCAGTTTCCCCATCTGTGCAGTGGAGTTGCAACATATATGTGTAAGTTACCTATGCCTTTGATGTGACTCCACCCTGAGGGTCATGTGGCCAGTGCCCATAAATGGAAGGAGAGGTTCCCTGGGGCCATAAGAGGACAGGGCCCCTTAGAAAGAGAGGAGGCATATGGTCAAGCTTGTCAGCTTTTCAAAAACTGGGCGTGAGGCTGATGGGGCACGGTTTCTACTTGTACCTGGCTGACACTTTTGACCACTCTCTCTCCCCTAGCCCCTTAGTGGGTGTATTAGTTTCCTGCAGCTGCTGTAACAAAGTACCACAAACTGAGTGGCTTAAAACAATGGAAATGTATTCTCTCACAGTTCTGGAGGCCAGAAGCCCAAAACCAAGTGTCAGCAGGGCCGCACTCCCTCTGAAGGCTCTCGGGGAGAATCCTTCCTTGCCTCTTCTGGTGGTTACTGGCGGTCCTTGCTGTTCCTTGGCTTGTAGCGGCATCACTCCACCTCTACCTCCGTCTTCACATCGCCTTCTCCTCTCTGCATGTCTGTGCCCAAACTTCCCTCTTCTTGTAAGGACACCCGTCCCTGGATGAGAGCCCACCCAATTCCAGTATGACCTCATCTTAACTTAATTACATCTACAAAGACCCTGTGTCCAAATAAAGTCATGTTACAAGTACCCGGGATTAGAACTTGAACATACATTTTCAGGACACGATTCAACCCACACCAGCTGGGTTCTCTCACACACACCACTTTATTTAATCCTCACAGTGACACGTTACCCTCCGTTACAGCTGCAGAGTCTAGACGTTAAGCTGGAGCAAACACTGCAGGAGAGAGGAGCTCTTAGAAAACCAGCCGCATCCCCCCCCAACCCCGGGCTCCGGTCCTAAGTGCAGGGCAGTGTGGCCGCCCAGCCCATCAGCTCCATGCTTCCGTTTCGCTCAGGGAGTCGCTAACTTCGGTGGGCACTAAGATGACGGCGGCAGTCAAAATAAAAGTGAGAGGCAGCTGGCTGTGTTGGGTGGATTTAGAAAGCCTCTCTGCTGAGCCTCAAGGGGTCTGAGGGAGTTTTCAGGGTAAGTCTGACCTTTTGCAGTCCTCTCCCTGGTGCTAGCTGTGACTCCCCGGAACATTCTGGAAGGGTTTAGAGTAGAGCCGCTGGGCCCAATACAGCAGCCGCTAACCACCAGGAGCTATTTAACTTTAAATTAATTAAACATAAATCAAATTAAATATTCCGTTTCGCATTCGCACTAGCCCCGTTTCGAGTGCCCAGTTGGCACACGTGGGTGCCAGATTGGATGGTGCAGATATAGAATGTTTCCATCATTGTGGAAGAGTCTCTTGGACAGCCTTGGAATAGAGTGTAATTCAAGCAAAATCTTTTCGGAGGGGGGCACACAAACCTTTGAGAATATAATAATAACAATAATAAAAAGTGTGAGTTGTTCTTATTACGGAGCTTTTACCATGCCCAGACCTTGGGCCATGTGCTCATATGATTCGTCTCACTTAATCCTCACACAGGCCTAGGGGGTGGGGGCGCCCCTCCTCACTCCTGTGGTGTCCCCCTCAGGCCCTGAGCACCATGATCTAGACCCTGGCTCTCCCAGCCTTCCGCGTCCATGCTGTGGCTGTGTCGGGGGGCAGGGCTTCAGGATCAGGGGGCTACACAGGAGCGCTCCATCCTGGGGTCTGTGGGTCCCACCTGTGCGCAGACAGGTTCTCGATCTCTGAGCATCCG